CGGCGATCGTCAACGCCAAATAAGGCAAGAGTTCGAGAGGACCGGATCTCAGATCTACGCAGGCGTACTACGGATCAAAGCTTGGTCTTTGATCCCGAGATTTGGGTGATTGTTTCCTTGGTGAACTAATCCCCCCGGCTATTATTTCCTTGGTGAAATAATACCCGTCGTACTGCGTAGATCCCGACCGGATCAAGATCGCCGGGTGGTCCACGGATAAACCCGGCGCAGGCGAAGAACCCACAAAGCGAGCGACCGCAAAACAGGAGCTCGCGATTTGTTCGACAAAAGAGAAAAGTTATAATTTTTTATTTCTTTTTTTTGATTTAACCGGATCTTATAAAAAGACCGGATCTTTGTAATCGATAAACTTTTACAAGAGTGTGCAATGGAATTAATGAAAGATACGATTTTTCCCGCGAATTGTGAACGTGGCAGACAGAGTTCACGTGATCAAAAACGTGTGGGGGCCACACGAATGCCAGCAGATGCGGATTTTATTTTGGTGAACAAATACATGGTCTAAGCCCAAGGAGTATTTCCATACTTAATGACCTAAGCCCATTTGGGTTGGGATACATTGGCCCAAAACTTGTTAAATGGTCACTTAGAAAGTCCGTTAAAGTAGAAAAAATCACCAAGGAAGAAAGAGTTAAAAAAAAACTAATAAATGTTTTATAGTTGTAAAAACGTGTGGGGGCCACACGAATGCCAGCAGATGCGGATTTTATTTTGGTGAACAAATACATGGTCAGGCCCACCCGATCAATTGCTCATATATATAATAACTTGTTTCATCCTAGGTTTTTGGGACGCAAGAGCGAAGGAGGCAGGGGCATGCAAAGTTTTTTCTGCGGCTGCGGAGAAAAACAGGTGCGAGGTCAGAAGCTTTAAGGGATTTTTGCTGCTGCTGCAAATCAAGGCTTTGTGAAGGAGAGTTCAGTGCACAGAGTTAATTGCGGCTGTTCGTTTGAGAGAGTATTTGTGTGAGGGATCTGAGAGTTTGTGAAAGGGTTTAGATTGAGTGATTGTAAACCCCAATTGTATCTCTCCCTCTAATAGTAGATCTCCCCCTCCTTGCCCCGTGGACGTAGGCTATTTGCCGAACCACGTAAAATTTGTGTTCTTGTCGTGATTTGTAATAGCTTGTAGGATCCCTCGACAGGTCAGTCCTAGAACTGATGAGAGGAAGAGCCAATATCTCACTTGGTTGAGATATCCGCTTCAGATTCTTGTTTCCTTGGTGAGACGAGAATTCTTATCGATCTAATCTCTCTTGTTGTGCTGCCGAAGTGCTGCCGAAATTTCCGCTGCGCACAACACTTCACATAAAACCATGATTCCTATTTGACTGAGATGTAGATATTGACTGATTATTACAGACAGTAGGGGGTGCCTTGCCTCACCTCTCAAAGTTAGAAACACCCTTCTGCTTGTTGGGTGGAGAAATTCTACATTACTGGCAAGTCATTTTTAGCATGGGGTTGGGTGCTAGTGACATTTGTAAAAGTGACTTACAATTTGACTGTAGCTATATCAAATTTGCACTGTATTTGACTTGACACTGGTGGTGGTAGTCAGTCTAATGTCAGTTTAGCAAACATTTGGTTGCTTTGATCAGATGAAATGCTTGCAGAGATGTTAAATCTTTTCACTGGGAGAATGTTTAGTTAGAAGCCTGAGGCTCTGAAATATTTAGAGCCTCTTGTTGTAAGAGAGATGTTCTCTCAAAGATATCAAGGTACCCCATTAAGCTCACTTTTGCTAGTTTTGAACAGAATACCACAATCAGCACTGTTCATGATTTGTTCCCGAAATCTAGGTCCAACTACAACAAACTAATTTCAGTTGCTTCAAGATGGTGTGTATATGACATGTTGCTTTGATGTCCATTTTAAGATGTCAAGGGAGAATCTTGTATGTGACAATCTTCTCTTCTCTGACCTAATCGAATATGCTTTTCCTCGCTGCCAGAGAACTTCGCTCTTGTTTGGTCTTCCTGATCTTAAGTTTGATTTAATGTAAGTCATGAATGAAAATTTCTTAGAACGAACAAGCAGGTAGTTTGCTATCAGAAATGCTAGGAGCTTACGTTTTCTTGCTAGATTAATTTTTGCATGGGTCTGATCTGTTCTGATCTATATATTTTACGTTTGGGAGATAGAACAACTATTATTGATATATACTTTTGTTTAGCATTAATTGTCACATGTTGTCTCAATAGTTAACCTTCAATATTCGTGTCGTGTCTCTACTTTTCATGAAAAACGCCTCTGAACTGAGAAACTTTTTATCTTTTTTCCCTTGTGATTGTTTTTTATATTTGTATGTCTTTAATCTACAGCATGAAACTGGCCTATGCAAAAATGTACTTCAAGATTATGCTCAAAAGATGAACTACGCAATCCCGTCTTATAAATGCACTGAACGTAAAGAGGGAATGATCTGTACTGTAGAAATTGGTGGAATTCAATATATCGGCGCTGCATCCAGAACGAAGAAAGAAGTAGAGATCAAAGCAGCCCGAACTGCCCTTCTTTCAATTCAATGTATGTTAAAGCTACACTCGTGTTTTGAAAATTGAGAAATATATTAGAATTGACGATTAGTTTGGTCATTGAAATAAATTGAAAGAAAATTATAGTTTGTAATAACTTAAACATTTCATTCTTAACAATCAAATTTAAGGAGAAAGAATCACATATCATATTTTTTGGGGACCCCCATTCCCATAACATCAATATGGTTTAATATAGTTTGTTCCAGCTTCATTTTGTCCCCTCCCCCCCCCTGCCGTACCTTCCCTTTTGCAATTTTAATATAAATATATAAATATGTATATTATAATATAATAAAAACAAAACAAAAACAAAAAAACAAAAAAAAAAATTCTTTGAGCTTGTCTAAACCCCCCAAACATTTGCACTTTTTTTCAACATACCCCTCCTAATGTCATGATGGGGGTTTCTTGAAACTTTATCAAAATTAAATTGTGGGGGATTCTGATAATAGTGTTAAAATTTTGGATTTTTTGAATATAATGTTGAAAGTTAGGGGTTACGCAATTAGGAGGTTATGTTGAAAACAATGAATTTGGGGGTTGAGTGACATTTATTAAGTTTAGGTGGGCACCAGAGCTCTGACAAAAATTTCATGTAAATTCCAAATTATTTTCCTATCAGTATAATTATAACTACCGAGGAGATTTGAGTGTTGGTGTCTTTCTGTTGGGCATCACAGAGCATAACTGGGCAGAAGAATCTAGATGACCAACCCGATTGTTGTATATAATTTTCAGTCTCTGTCTCTGGGATACAAACACAGCCTAACCTAACCGTTGCACTTATTTGTGGAAGATGGTTCTCAAATGAGTGGAAATGGTGGTTCCCAGTACACTCTTCTTCCTTCCAAAAGGAAGGAGAGGGAGAAGGAACTGCAACCCGAACCAGTTGAGCAACTCAAGCCGAAGAAAGCCAGATCGAAGAAGAAATGGTTAAGGTGGACGTAAGAAAAAACATGACAAGGCATTGAAATCTGACTATGTTGAGGCTGGCACAAAAATAAAACCTGATGTGTTCAGTCCCTCAATGAGCAAGGATCTGGTGGAATGAAGGATGAGCCTCAGAGCCAGAGTAACGAACTGAAAGCTTCAGCTGGGGATTCAAATGGACGTTGTCAAGTCGAGAAACAATTTGAATTAACAAGATTGGAGAAGCGTCAGGAAGTCAAAACAGTTGATTCTGTGCTGGCACAGGAGGTAAAAGGTGATGCAGCTGTGAATAATTCTTGTGCAAAAGTTGAAGATCAAATTCTCCAATTCAACAGACAGTTTGATTTTGACAACGGGGGGATCTGTATCCATGACGCACAGTGTCCATTATAACGATGTCTTGTCTTTGAAGAAAGACATGGTTTGTTTATGTTAGAAGAAAGAGGCTTGTACAAAGGTGAGGATTTGACAGTTGGAGTTTACAATTCATAAAGTGTTAAGACTGTCTATTAGTTCAGCGTTCTCTCTTTAGTGATTTCGTGGTATCTGAAGTGTGCTGAAAGCACACGATAGTCAACGTCTGATTCTTATCCAGTACTGTAATATGTTCAACATCCTGGGTTCCGAAATCTATAACGGAACAGAAAAGGGTGAAAACGGTTGGGACCAGTGATAAGTCACAGTTGAACCTGGCTGGGAGCGTAGCTCTCGCCCTTGAAGAGGCTGTTAATGGTGAGTGAAGCGTTGTTTTACTTCGACAAAGATGAATATATCCGTTCATGGGCTTCCAACGGCACCGTTGTCTTCTCTGTGATGCTTTGAAATCTTTGGGGTCATGTTTGCTTGATCTTAAACAGAGGTTTAGCACTCTTACAAACTTACACTGTCTATTTAGCAATCACCAGAGATTATCAGAACTCCTCGTAGTAACATTGCCTTTGACCATGCAGATATTTCTTCGACTAAGTCACAGTTTAGACAGCGTGTGCTTATAAGACCTCTGCGTTCATTACAACCCCAAACAGTAACATCTGGCTTGGGTTGGGGAGTTGACAGAACTTCACGGAACAGAATAAAGAGATTGAAGCAGCAGAAAATAGCCCTTGTGCCTCTAATGGTCGAAGAAAATTGTTGAATGGGTATTTCGCGACCAAGATAACAAATGTTGAGTCTTGGGTATAATCCTTTACCTCTTATCACTTTGTTCATTACGGATTCATTTTCAAAACCATTTTTGGCTGAAAAAGATGAAAGAATGACTATATCTATCAATGGTTATATACCAGATTGTGTTTTCACTCTTACATTTGAGACGAAAGATCACGAGTCAGTACGCTGTCTGACTGGAACTCCCTCACTATAGCTATCTATTATTACAGGCTTGTAAACAGTTTTCGATAATCTTCTAATTTCTTACGTGAACCAAACTAAAGTACTATATATAGGCCCAGAATTTGCACACACACAGTTTTCCTTTTGAACCATATGTACACACACCAAGGCACACACATGACACTGGATATGTGCTCAGCCTCTTCAATATGCTATATAGCTTTACAACTACAACCCCTTTGCATAAAAATACCTGTCTCTGTTTATGATCGCTCATAGAATGATGACACCATAATGTAAATACCCATAACTAATAAGGATAATTAAACAGGTGCATGAGCAGAGTACCATAGAAGCCCATGCATAGTGAGGTGAATAACATGAACTAATGTGCTTCAAGCGCAATGCCCGAATTTTCCACTACATTCTTGATGTATTCTTGCCTTGCTGGATGAGCTTCTTGAGGGCGATTGTAAGCAGTCCAAACTGGTTCTCCTTTGAACAATCTCATCAGCTGCAAACATCCGCACCTTCATGAGTCCACGTAAGCCAAATTTAAACAACACTATATCTCATTACCAAATGAAGTTTAGGAATATTGATCATATATCCTACGATGTAGACTTGTAATACTAAACTTGTCCCAAATCCAAAAGTAATTATTTCTTCACGTATAGATACCAATTACCATTCATGAATTAGCTCTAGGACCAAGTTACTTTAATCATTTGTCAGTCAATCTTTATGCTATTTGAGCTCTGACGCAGAGAAAATATTTAAAAAATAATCCTTATTCACGGGAAGAGAAAGTCACTGATAAGTTCGTGAACATTAGTAACTCTGGTATACCGCTGGGTGTTTTTAAGGTTATTGCACCGATGAAGGATTTTAAGACTATTCTAGCATAAATTTGTGAATTGCTCGAGTTAGATTATCTTCAGGCTACACCGCAGTAAAAGTATTTAACTTTCATAATTCCATGTACTGAGTCTACTGACAGAGCTCATCAATCACCCTATCTGCAACTGATTAAATAGTGACGCATCAAGAAAATTCTCAATTGTTATGGGATCAACACATTTCAGACATCAGAACAAAATTAGCTCATTGAGACTTTGCAAATGTTTGATAATTCAGAAATTTTATCAACCAACAAGATAAAGCATGTAGCATACCTTCACATAGTTTGAAGTGTCGAGGGTGAAGCGATGGTAGATCCCAGCCGGTAATATAATCATGTCTCCTCCTTTGATCCAGATTCTTATCCAACGGTCATCTTTGTCACGGACATCAAAATACCCGCTTCCTTCCAGACAATAACGGATCTCTTCATCAGCATGGATGTGCTCTGTGTAAAAGTTCCTCAGCTTCTCTTCATAATTCTCAATTTTTTCAGGACACAAGTCCAAAAGATCCTGCAAAATGAATATTCATGATGGTAAAGTTTGCAACAAAAAAAGAAGAAGAAGAAGAATATGATTCAAGGTTAAAAAGAAGTTAGAAAGTGAGGCAGAGCAAGCAGACCATATAGTTGTATCCCCTGGTTTCACGAATCTTGTTTAGTTCTTCATCATTTTCATAGTTTTTCGGATTCAAATGCCAATACAAAATCCCAATTTCTGCAAGTAAACAAATATCCATAAGCTTTGCTCTGTAGACAATACCAATTTTACGAAGCTCATATATTCCATGTAATGATCATTTTGAACAAGAGACTACGTTACATGATTATTTGTAAATGAAATTGATGTCTATGATGTCTTCTAGTATACACGGTTCCAAAGAGCACAAAGGTACCACGGTGCTTCTATCTATCAACTGAATACGGGATAGCATCAAGCAAAAAAAAATTTGGGAGCGTTGCTATCTTGCATCCATGAGTTCAAATTGCACACCTTTAATTATACACTAAACAACGCACAACATTTCCTTATTGTCGATCTAGAACAGGTTAATTGCGGACAGATCTCGTGTATTATATCCCAGTTGCGGATAGGCCCCCTGAAGTTGTATCAACTCAGTGAGCTTTTTTGAATATTTTAGGAGTCAAAAAAAAAAATCGCTCATGGGGACTATCTGCACTTGAACAAATAGTATAGGAGGTCTGTTCACGCAAATAGAACTACATGGTGTCTATCGGCAAGTTGGCAACAGTATAGTGGGTCTACCCACAATTAACCCATCTATAATCCAAGCAGTCACGCAATTACTCTACGAGATTCATGCGGAGGCTCGACGAAAATGCTTCACAAATGTTCAGCACAAACGAAAGGAGAGGTAAGCTTATTAGAGCATCTCCAACCACAAAACTCAAATTGGTGTAGTTTTTACACCAAATTGGTGTAGTTTTTACACCAAATTACTATTCCATCTCCGATCCATTACACCAAATTTTACACCAAAAAGAATATTTATTTTATTATTCTTACCTTTTAACATTTTATCTATTTAAAATATTTATTATTATAGAAAATAATAATACAACATAAATTATTGTGTAATAAAAGAGAGCTTTTATAAATTATGTGCTAAATTATTGGTAACCAAGACGAGGTTGAACAAAGTAATTGTTCTTATTCAGCTAAAAAAAACCCAATTCTATTTCACACTTCTACTGTCATTTTAACATATTAGGTGTTAAACTGTCAGTTCAATAAATTTTTATTTTTCTGATGAGCACAGCTAATATTGAAACTTAAAACTATGATCGAACTGATTTTACTGAAGACAAGGGTCAATAATGATCATCTCCATTTGGACTTGGACAAAATAACTCATCATTTTTAACATGAATCAACGAAACACTGAACATAACTGAACAAACCAATCAGCTAAAAAAAAGCTGTTGGGCGCAGAGTCACGCCCACCGCCGCGGAAGCGATATCACCTGAGAGATAGCCCTGGTTTTTATTGTCACAAAAGCACAAGTCAACCTCGATATTCTTGTTTCTCAAAGGAAACTAGAATAGATAGTGAAATTCTTGTTTCTCAAAGGAAACTAGAATCGAAAGTGATATATTTCATCAAAGTGAAATATACACTCTTCCTCTCATCAGTTCTAGGACTGAAATGTCGAGGGAACCTACAAGCAATGGCAACTCACAGATAAGACAATACAAACACGAGATTTACGTGGTTCGGCTAACTAACCTACGTCCACGGGAGGGGGTTTCACTATGAGGAGAATACCAAACTCTTACAAGTTCTCTCTCAACTCACTCTTTCTTTTCTCTCAAAAGAACTCCACATAACCCACTTAGTATTTTTCCCCACACCAAAAACACCTCCACCCATTCTCTATTTATAGGAGAGAGCAAGGGGCAAGGCCAAAGCTTTGGCGGGCAGACACGGTAGGAAATCGCGGGCGAGCGGGAAAAGAACGCAGGAAAGACACGTGCGTGTGGAAACCGAGCTCGAGCACGAGCTCTGAAGCGATGTGGGCAGGCGCACGTCGCAAGCGGCGCGCGTGGGAGGCACGAACACGAGCCCACGCTCGTCGTGGCCGCACAAGCGGTGCCCCCTGACCACCCACGTAGGTGGGCCCCCCTATCACAATTTTCCACCTCGTACATTATTTGATAAACCTTAAATTTTGGACGAACACCAGAAGAACCCCGCGAACTCCACCAGAGAGATCCAGGCCAAACCAGCTGCGTCAGTATACCGCGACTACCTACGTACCCTCCACCAGGATCAAGCTAACCGTAGTTCTGCAACCATTCTCCAACATAGTCTTCACCTCATCTCTATCACCGCCCCGTAGGGCCATGCCCTCTTGGGCAAAGTAACACAGACTGATATGAAGCAAGTCCAAGCAATGTTGGAACTTGTTACGTGTGACCACCTTGGTTAACATGTCCGCGGGATTCTCATTCGTATGCACCTTCATGAGAGAAATATTACTTTCCTCTATGACATCCCGCACAAAATGATACCTAACGTCGATATGCTTGGTACGAGCATGGTGAATTTGATTTTTCGCCAAGTGAATCGCATTCTGACTGTCGCACCACAAGTTCACGCTCTCCTGCTCAATCCCCAAATCGTATAGAAGACCTCACAGCCACAATGCTTCCTTCACTCCCTCCGTCATGGCCATGTACTCGGCCTCTGTAGTAGAAAGTATCACTGTAGCCTACATCATGGATCGCCAACTAACTGGAGCTCCATGTATCCTGAATACATAATTAGTAGTAGATCGTCGTCTATCTAGATCGCCCGTATAATCTGAGTCCACATACCCGTCGATCTGACATGTATCTCCACCAAAACACAGACCTGTAGCCGTGGTACCTTTCAAGTACCTCAGGACCCATTTCACAGCTTCCCAGTGCGTCTTTCCCGGATTCACCGTGAACCTGCTGACCACACTAACCGCCTATGAAATATCTGGGCGTGTACACACCATGGCGTACATCAAACTGCCAACTGTACTAGCATAAGGAACACGCTCCATGTGTGCCTTATCTTCCGCTATAGTGGGAGATTGTTTACCTGAAAGCCTAAAGTGTGGAGCCAATGGGGTCACCACCGACTTTACACTTTGCATCCCGAACCTCACGATCACCCGCTCTATGTAGCCCTTCTGACTTAAGAACAATCACTGATTCGCCCGCTCTCTTCTAATCTCCATACCCAGTATTTTCCTAGCAGCGCTCATGTCCTTCATCTCGAACTCTTTACCAAGTTAAGATTTTAGTCTATCTATCTCCACCTTGTTCTTCGATGCAATAAGCATGTCATTCACATAAAAAAGAAGATAGATATAGTCACCTCCACGAAGCTTCCGAATATAAACACAACAATCATAGTCGCTTCGGGAAAACTCATACTTCAGCATGAAGGAGTCAAATCGCTTGTATCACTGTCACGGAGATTGCTTTAATCCGTAAAATGGCTTCCTCAAACAACATACATGATTTTCCTTGTCCTCAACCTTGTAACCCTCAGGTTGATGCATATAGATCTTTTCATCCAAGTCTCCGTGCAAGAAGGCTGTCTTGACATCGAGTTGTTCCAGCTCAAGATCACCATGAGCAACAATACTCAATAGCACCCGAATAGAAGTGTATTTCACCACCGAAGAAAATATCTCATTATAATCCACACCCTCTCTTTGTGCAAACCCCTTAGCCACTAGCTTCGCCTTGTACCTCGTACCACCGAGCTCTGAAGGATCTTTCTTTCTTTTATACAGCCACTTATAACCTATAGCTTTCTTTCCTACGGATAATGGGACCACCTCCCATGTTTGATTCTTCCGGAAAGATTCCATCTCCTCCTCCATCGCAGCCAACCAACTCTCGCTATCTTTATCCCGAATAGCTTCCTTGAAGGAGACTGACTCATCTTCCTCCACCGAGAGTGCGTACTCAACCAAATTAACCTGTCCATAGTGCTTCAGGGGTTGATCAGCCCCTAGCTTCTGTACCTGCTTGGATGCTCGCTTTAGCCTAGTGGAAGCCACTATCCTCGAGTGCTGAACCTCCTCCTGCTCAAGCTCATCATCTACCTGATTTCCCACTTGAACACGACTAGAACCTGGTTGGTCTTTAGGTTCTATATCAATAACCTGGGACTTAGAATTCCCAACAGTCTCAACACCATCATCCTTGGGCACCCTAGCAATCATGGACTTCTCATCAAAGGTAACGTCCCTGCTGATCACGAACTTCGAATCTTCTGTACACCAAATACGATAACCTTTTACACCCTTTGCATACCCTAAGAAAATTGCTTTCTTGGCCGTCGCGTCAAGTTTTCCCTCGTTGACGTGATAGTAGGCGGTACACCCGAAGATTCGGAGCCTCTCATAATCTGCATGCTCCCCTAACCACACCCGATAGGGTGTATCACCATCCAATGTCGAATGCGGAGATCAATTCACTATATAGCAAGCTGTAGCAATCGACTCTGCCCACCATTCTTTACCTAAACCAGCATATGATCGCATACTCACTGCTTTCTCCCGCAGTGTTTGGTTCAGTCTTTCCGCGACCCCATTTTACTGTGGTGTAGATCTAACTGTCCAGTGTCTGACAATACCCTCCTGATCACAGAACTCCTTGAAAGCACCGTCTGTATACTCTGTACCGTTATCAGATCTCAGTGTCCAGAACTCCTTGAAAGCACCGTCTGTATACTCTGTACCGTTATCAGATCTCAGTGTCTTCAATTTCTTGCATGTCCTGTTCTCAAGCACCGTCTGTATACTCTGTACCGTTATCAGATCTCAGTGTCTTCAATTTCTTGCATGTCCTGTTCTCAACCATCGCCATTCACTTCTTGAATGTCTCAAATACCTCAATCTTATGCTTCAGAAAATAAATCCAAGCATATCTCGAATGATCATCTATGAATGAGACAAAATATCTTGAACCACCCTTGGAAGTTATCGAAGTCGGACCCCAAACATCCGTGTGCACATAATCTAGTATCCCTCTGCTCTTGTGCTTGCTCCTCAGAAACTGGATCCTGTGCGCCTTTCCATACACACAATCCTCGCAAAAATCCATGCAAGGTTTCTTCAGATTCTTTAGCAAACCATCTTTACCAAGCAGATCCAGACCCTTCTCTGACATGTGCCCAAGCCGCCTATGCCATAACCGTGTGTGCTCATATGGGTCTTCACCACTTCCTTCAGCTCCAACTGCTGCATCTCTCGTCACTGTCGTACCCGAGAGAGTATATAGATTACCGTGACGAACACCCTTCATCACTATTAGAGAACCTCAAACAACCCTCTTCGCTCCGTTCTCTGTTACAATCTTGCAACCCCCGAAGTCTAAAGCACCAACTGAAATAAGATTCTTCCACAAGTTGGGAACGTGTCTTACATCCGTCAAGGTTCGAACCACTCCATCATGCATCTTGATCTTGATATCGCCTAGCCCCACCGTTTTATAAGCATGGTTGTTCCCCATCAATACGGTTCCACCATCAATGCTCCTGTAGGTAGTAAATCACTTCCTATTTGGACACATGTGGTAAGAGCAACCAGAATCAAGTATCCACTTTCCGGAGGTATCCTCGTCACCCGTGACGATATAGCATTCCTTATCGCTCCCTTCCTCTGAAGCATAACTCGCTTCTTCCTTACCTTCTCGTCTTTCAGTTTTGTTGTTGTTCTTCTTCTCACCTACTCTCTTGTTAGGACAATCGACCTTGAAATGCCTAACTTCACCGCATTTGAAACATGCTCGTCCCGCAAGAGGTCTTGATTTAGATCTAGACTTTTCTCTCTTGCCTTTTCCTCTGGCAAACAGTCCCTGAGCTTGTTCCTTGTTATCATCAGTGGCCATATCACTAGTTGTAATTTTTCAAAGATCATCCGCTAGAAGCGCCGTTCTAGTCTCATCCATCGACAAACTGTCGCCCATAAGCATCAGTGTTTGAACCAGATTCTCATAAGACTTCGGTAGAGATAGAAGTAGTAGAAGTGTCTGATCCTCGTCTTCCACTATCACCTCAATGTCTTTCAAATCCGATAAGATCCTATCGAACTTGTTGATGTATTCCCGGATTGATGAACCCTCCTCCATCTTGTAAGTATACAATTTGGATTTTAAATAGATCCGGTTCGTTAGACTCTTTGTCATGAAGGTGCTCTCTAATTTTAACCACACGCCCGTAGCCGTTTTCTCCCCGTCCACTAAGAAAGCTACATCTCTTTTAAGGCAAAGGATAATCGACGTCCGTGCTTCCAGATCCAGCTCCTCTCAATCCTCATCAGACATATTATTGTGCTTCTCTTTTCCAGCCAAAGCCTTGTGCAATTTTTACGAAATCAGCGAATTTTTCATCTGCATCCTCTAATAGGAAAAATCATTTTTCCCATTGAATTTTTCAATCCCGTACTTTCCAACTTTACTTATTTTACATGTAGAAGCCATTATCCGCTTGTATTAATAAAATTGTTTCTCTCAGGAATTTCAACAAATACCTTGTGTTTTACCACACAATAACCAAGCACCACCTCAGATCAGTAGCTCAACCACCGCCAATCTGAATAAGAGCTCTGATACCAATTGTTGGGCGCAGAATCACGCCCACCGCCGCGAAAGCGATATCACCTGAGAGATAACCCTGGCTTTTGTTGTCACAAAAGCATAAGTCAACCTCGATATTCTTGTTTCTCAAAGGAAACTAGAATAGATAGTAAAATTCTTGTTTCTCAAAGAAAACTAGAATCGAAAGTGATATATTTTATCAAAGTGAAATATACACTATTCCTCTCATCAGTTCTAGGACTGAAATGTCGAGGGAACCTACAAGTAATGACAACTCACGGATAAGACAATACAAACACGAGATTTATGTGGTTCGGCTAACTCTTACAAGTTCTCTCTCAACTCACTCTTTATTTTCTCTCAAAAGAACTCCACATAACCCACTTAGTATTTTTTTTCCCCACACCAAAAACACCTCCACCCCTTCTCTATTTATAGGAGAGAGCAAGGGGCAAGGCTAAAGCTTTGGCGGGCAGACACGGCGGGAACCCCCACCCCCACCCCCACCCCACACACACAAAATCATATTCATATACTCCCCCTAGATCCACAAGCACAAATAAGAGAGCCCTCTTAAGCTTGAAGAATAAAGTCCAAATTTATGAACAGACTAAATGAAGTTAGTTCATAAGTTGATAATGCAGCCAGCAATTTCTACACGCCAACAATACTCCTCTGATCAAGTTTCACTTAAAGCTAATCTCAACAACCAATCTCAAATCTTGAATTTTTTTTTTTTGTGGAGAATTCAAGAATTTCCAATTTAAAGCAATACCTGCAAGCTTGTTTAGGGAAACAAACTCCTTTGGATTCTTATGATGAGGGAGTCTCTTGTCCTCCTCATTCTCCTCCATGTACCAAGCCTTTATAAGATAACAATCCAAGAATTTTTTTTAAAAAAAAACCCCCATAATTTAGCAGCAACAAAAGAAAAATAATAATAATTGCACAATAACAGGCTAAAAAGAAAATATATACCTCCAGAGCCATGGATGAGTGCTTCTTAGTTCTCTGATTGTTTACCCAACTAAATTTGTGGCGCATTTTATAGGCAAAGGAGGAAGAGAAACCAATTCCACAAACGCATGATTTTCCCTTCTGATGATGATGGGTATCTGCCACGTGTACGGCCAGTGATTTCTTGCGTTTTTGCCCATATGGCCCCTAAAAAATCTATCCTATTTGCAGCCCAACCAGCAAATCTTGATAATTTTTCCACATACATTCCTAACGCTGAAACTTTTATGCCCCGGGTAAATTCCATAGGTTAAATCTATTTCTTTATACAAACAGGAGGATCAGAGATTCACTATTCATGTTACAGTAAATACTATAGTAGTATTTATTGTAGCATTGTCACTGTAGCTAATACTTAATTAAAAATATTACTGTAGCACATGATATACTGTAACATTTTAGAAGTTACTGTAGCAGAACGGGATACTGTAGCACTTTTAAAAATTCAAAGCATGCGGTATTAAAAAGTGGGATTACTGTAGCAAAAAAAAATACCGTGCTTTTGCACGGACCGCAAACTAGATAGAAAGTATGTGAATAGGTTAAGACATAGTGTTAAATAAAGAGGGCTGTTTGGGTTCAATGTTAAAAAATGCAAGGATAAAGTGGCAAATAGTTGGATTTGGAGGGCATAGCTGCAAATAATCTAGATTTGTGAGTGAGGTGAAGAATCCTCGAGTTTTTTGTGGTATTAAGCCCTTCATTAAGCGATCACCATAAAAATTCACGCATCCGTTTGTCTTGATGCCATATTTGAATCCTGCACGAAGACAAATTCTTTGTTTTTATCTGATGATCGCAAAATGACGGTAGAAATTTTTATGGTGTCCCTTAATTATGAAGTTATTTTAAAACTAATCCCTTCAATCAAGGAGTAAAGGTAATAATTGGAAGAATTAATCTGAAACAACTAGCGAGAATTAGGGAACGTAAAAATATTTTAATTATTTGAGTGACTACTTTCCCTTTAATTGGTACTTCCCCACTTCATTTGAGGGGCTGACTTTAAAATAATTTAAGAATTAAGGAATCTATTAGCAACAGCAAATAAAGGAACACACATAAAAAAAAAACTTATTACCAAACGTTATTACGAATTTAGCATAATTAACATTTCTCAACTCTCCTCGTTAATTCTTAAACATGTTTACCTCCAACCGTAGTTTTCTCTCTATTATTAGCACGTGATAGCTATGTATCTTCAGTATTTATAAGAAGAGTAGTGATAAGTGTACTACTATATATTCTCTACTATATTGGCACTCTCACTCTTAAGAGAGAATGGGGCCATGATGAGTGATCAATACAAATTTCAAGTGAGGCCCCCACTCCTAACTGAGTAGTACGCTTAACATTTTTCTTATAAGAAACATGTAGTCCCTCTAGAAACACATAATAACACATTGCCGTTAAATAACACACACATAACAAACGGAACAAATAACTCAGATTAGACGTCACAAAGTCTGGCTAATAATGGTAAACTTTATGAATAATTAGGTGGTTAATCCCCTATAGTCATACGCGACTACCTTATATTTAAAATCTTCATAATTTTTCTTAAAAAAGACCTCTATAAATTGAAATATACTTTCCTATCGGTTTATCCTCCGAATCATTTTAAATTTGCTTTACTGTATTTAAATGTCTATCAGAAAAAGCCTTCAACTTTTGTTTGTTTATTTTCGTCTATCTACTTCTACTCTTCAAAACAAAGCAGCGTAGAGCTACTTAGGCTTAGGCCCATGTTTTAATTATTACTCACCCGCGTGTCGCTCATTTTAATGGGCCTTTTGTTTAGCAATTTGATGGGCCGAATCTTGTATCTTGCCCAACGCTGAAAATAACACAATTTTGGCTTCTTTCCTATTTTGACTCCCATCTCATGATCATTTTACCTCAACACCATCAAAGTTCCTTCTCATGAAACTCTCACCTCCACTATAATTTTCTATCTTTTTTTCTTGCTTCTTTACTTTATTTTTCTGAATGAATTTGTATTAAGAACAAGATTTTATGGTGGAAAATGATGGGAAGAAAACCATTAAAGAGGTTGTTGTTTAGAGTTAAGAGAGTACTAGGACATACAGATGGTTAAAGGCCTAAGGCTTCATGGATTGACTTTTTGTAGCTGGTTAGTAAGAGGGGATAATTTTAGGATTTTTTTTTCCCCTCCAAGAAACTACTAAATAGGTTGAAAACACGAAAACCAACTTTAATATCTAAATTAATACATAAATTATTTTTTTAAAGGGGGTTTCAGTAGCAAACAACAATCTTGACTTATTTTCAAGTAAAATTTCAATCGGAATTATCAAATTGCTTCTAAGGAACACACATGTGAGCACGCAACGTATCTTCTTAATCAAACCTAAAGAAAATTTGTTGTTGAAAATTTTAAATCTTCATCAAATTAACATAGAAAGTTTGCTTGAAAATCTTAAAATTGATGAGAATTTAATAAAATTAATTTAAAAAAGAAAAATTACCGAAATATGCTGAATTACTATATTGATACATTTAGTGGCACATATTTACCAATAATGTATATTTAGTGTCTCCAACGATAACAAGGTATAAAAAGTGAGTATGCTTAGCCAATAATACCTGTCCGGTAATGAATGGTGAAATTTGAGCACCGAATTACAGGTTTTTTCATATGCACCCCTCAAATATCATGTATTTATAAATTTACCTCAAAAACTCGATTTTTGGTAAATATCTCCCTCTCTCTCTCTCTTCCCACTCCTCTCTCACCTCATCTCCTCCCTCTCCCTCTTCCACATTCACTCCCCTTGCCTCCCTCCGCTCCCATCTTCACCTCCCTCATCTACTCCCTCTCCCCCTCCCCCCCATGTCTCTCTTTTATTATTTTCTCCATTGCAAACTTATGAAAATATAATGTCATGTAAAAGCTTTCATGGTATTTTAATGTTCTGTCGATCCCATTCAATATAAATCGAACTCTTTTTCTCATAAATTGTATCAATTGTTCCACATTCCCATCTCGATTAATGTTTCTTATGCTTCATATAATAGTAGATCGTTATTCTCATGCCCTCTTCACTCATAATTTGTGTATATATGCAAAAAAAAAACCATGATTTGGGGCTCAAATTTAACTAGCCGCGATTAAATAGGTCTTATTGGCTAAACGAACTGATTTTTTATACTTTATTATCACCAAAACCATTAAATATAACTTATTGATAAATATGTGCCACCAAATAGGCCAATGTAATAATAAGGTTCCGTTTGGATAGCATGGTGTTTTACTTGTTTCCATAGTGTTTTTACCAAAAACAAAACACTATGTGTTTGGAAACCATGATGTTTTTTGAGCTAAATCATCATCAAACGAAAAACACAACACTTATTTCAAAACACTTTTTAGCTGTTTTAAGTTTGGTGTTTTGGTTTTGAGTTTGAGAAGTTGTTAATATAATATCTAATATAATATAGTAAATGTAATTAATATAGAGTTATTAACAAAATACTTATTATACTATACTATACTATACTATACTATACTATACTATACTATACTACTATAATATATTATAGTTAATTTGAATATTTAGTAATATTTATTAAATAATGAAAAATAAAAATAATAACATATAAAGATACTTTTAAATAATGATACTAAACATATTAAATACCAAGTATTTAATATTTCTTAGTAATGTATGTATATAATAGATAAATAAATAATAAAAAATAAATAAACTAATAAAATAATACAAAAAGTTATCGATAATTAAATAATAAATGATTATAATAATATAATAATATACTATACCAATAGTATAATTGTTATAATATTGATTAAGCTTTGTAAGTAAATAAATTATAATAAATTAATAATTATAAAAGTATTATATAATAGTAACATATTAATACTAACATAACAATATAATAATAATATTACAATAAGCATATTGTTATAGGTAAACTAAATATTAAATATATCAAGCATATTAACTATATTATGTGAATAAATAATAATAATTTATTATAAAGTAAAATGATTTTTATAATTAAAATAATTTATTTGGCTAATAAATGTTTATGTAAAAATAATATATTCATAAATATAATAATATTTATTTATAGCATAAATACTGGATATAAGTGGTTAAAGTACTATTAATAAAGTCAACATATTAAAAAGCTATAATATAATTACATAATATTAAAATATTTATAAATATGATTAGTTTATTAATACATACTAGTAATAACATAATATACATATATAATATTATATTATTATGAATAATGAAGTATAATATTTTATAATTAATATTAGAATAAGTAGGTATAATATTATATTAATAATAATATAACATTATTATTAAAATATTAAATATATAACAACAATAATAAAACTTGATAACGGCAAAAATAAATAAATATATACATTATTTAAAAAATAATGATATAATTAATTATAATATAACTCATTAAACGTACAAGGGTATTCAAGGAACAGGTAGTCTCCGAGCATATTATACAGTATTATTAAAAAAAATTTGCATTACATTTAGTACTTTAATACTATAATAATATAAACTAAATATACTAACATTCTATTAATGAATTATATTTTATTATAATTAATATATAATATAATAATAATATTTTTAATACTAATGTTACAATGGGTCAAACTAGTGTTGACAAAAAATACTTAACATGGTGTTTTAAAAATATTTTAAGGAAAACACAACATCATGGTGTTTTTTTATAAAAACACATAAGAAAAATACCATGATATCCAAACGAAACCTTAGCTTTATGGCAAATGAACGACGAGCAAAACTTGTGTCCACTTAAGTGGACATCCACTAAACTTTTTAACCCTTAGATGTTTCCTAGGGATCCTTGCATGATATGAAGTGACTTTTTATATGTTAAATGAGTGGATATAAAGTTTGGTGGACACACTATTCACTATCCACTTAAGTTGACACAAGTTCTACTCAATGAACGACTATCACTTCCTATGCACAGAACATCAAAATGTGGATTCCTTATTCATTTT